AAAAATGGAAATTGCAATGTGACCAATTTTTTTATATGATTTTTTTAATTTTCTTGTGATTATGCGCATAGAAATTTGAAGTTATAAAAAATATGAAAAAACGTTCACTTTGTCTGTACAGGAGCTATAATACATTTAATAGGTGCATTTCTTATAGCACAAAAGCATATAAAAAGGTCCTTTCTTGATTTGAATCGGTTAGCTTGTATGACTTATGCTACATGAACCCGTTCTGAAGTATATATTCGTAAATTGTATCCTTGCGTTGATATCTTGTCAGATAAAGAGCTTTTCTGGATTTTGTTCATTCAGTTTGTATGACAGCTATATGCTATAGTGGCAGCTTCTTGTGGAGGAAAAAAACGTTTGCACAATTTCAGAGATCGATATCTCATAAGCTAAGGGACTAGTTTACAAATATAGAGACTGGCGGCTGGATAGACGAAAATGGTTAAACCGACTCAGCTCGTGACGCGCTGGTGTTACAATCTTCGTGTCAAACTTATTGTACCCTGTACAGGCAGCTTCGACGTTTTGAACACAATTCTACGGCTATAAACACAGTAAAAGCAAAGCTATCGAATGGAAGCCCACGTTAAAAAAAATCTTTAATAAAATTCGGTCAACGCGCCGGTAAACCTCAATATATATTGAAAATTAGCCTATATAGGTATAGAAAATTTTGGAGCAAGTTACGCTCTTTCATATTCTTGAAAATCAGAGAAATAACGGTATATGTAACATTCTCACACTTCTATAAGAAATTTTAAAACGAATAAGCTCGATTAAAAGGAACAAAAAACTAAAAGTTAATTAACTTGCATCTGTCACTAAACCCTTCCACGCAGTGAGATGATAAACTCTCTTGATAATTAAAAGAGAAATAAAACAATACGTATTCGATATCAAACGAATCTTATGGGACTAAGTACATTCGTTCGTTATCAAAAAACAATTTTAATGTAGGTGCATTCTTTGGAAATGACAAAGATTTACTTTTTCGATACTTTGGCTCCTTGATATTAAGCAATTCATTTTTGGGTTTTGTTGGTATTCATATGATGTACATATGTATTCAATAACAAAAAACTTAAGCATGAAAAATAAATCGAATCAAATTACGAAGTATTCAAAAATCTTTATACCCAAAATTGGTTGTTAAATAATATACATAGTATAAGGAATATTTCCAAAATTTGTTAACTTCGAACTAGCCATGCGTTAAAACGTTATTTTTATTAATAAAATCTAATCAAATCGCTTCGCCGTTATTAAGGGATGTTATCAAATACATTGAGAAAAACCAATAACAAAGCAACGAGTCCCAACATAGATTCTAACTCTCAGGATATTCTGAATATCACCGAAGACCCAGATTATAACTGAATGCTCGATAACCATAGCAACGCGTTAAGAAAATACATAGTTCTATTTAGTCTTTGTTAATTATGTATTCCTTTAGATTGTATTTACATGTTGAGGTTTTTAAAAAAAGGAACTAATTAAATTGTATTGTAGTATAGATATTAAATTTTTGCAATGCATTGTAGAAGCATAAGTATAAGAATGTATAGTCGAATTTAAAATTATGTGTCGGTTGTATAATATCAAACATATGTATAGAAATATATTAAAGCATATATGGTGTTAAGTTCATTTGCACGTGTAGAATAATGTATGTATATATATATTCTAGATATATTAATTATGAAGTTATATAATATTTTAAGTTGGTAGAGCACAAACATCTTAAATCTATTATATAGCTAAGGTTTTATCAACAGTCGCAGCATAGTATTACTATAACTATAGTTCCCAAAATATGGATTTCTAATTGAAAATTATGCATAATTTAAAGGACTTATGGGTGCCAGAAATCCAGTACATATAAGCCAATATGCGAGATTACCATTGAAAAAAACAGTTTTATTCTAATTTTTTTCGACATGAAGACGTTTTAGTGGTGTCACATCAATTTAGTGTCCAGAATTTCACACATTTTCAGATGGAAAATAATATTTTAGGGTAGCAAAGCGTCTTAAAGAAATAAGTTACATATTTATATAGCTCACAATCAAGATAGTTCAATCTGACAAAAGCAAGAATCTAAGTTTAGCATAAGGGATAAACAAAAGTTCCAAACATAAGCCATCATACAGATTTGTTTTTTTGTTGCCCTGGAAGCGGAAGGTTTTAACCAAAATGAATTGTGGATGTTAAGACTTACTGTTTTTCCCAACGGAATTTTTTCTTTTGGATTTCAAAAGTCATTGGCATACCCTCAGAAAAAATTTTGTCGCAAAATTTCATGAAATCGATACAGTCTTCCGATGCAGGTGAATCTGAGAGTAAAACTTCTACGCAAAAATTATTTCCACAACATGAACTCAGTGATATAATGCGTGATAAAGTTAGGAATGATAAAGCTATTTTTCAAAACAGGAGATGTTTTAAAATGTTGTTTTAATTACATTTGTTGAAAATTTGAGAAGTTAAGTAAAAATAATTGAAAGATGGAATACTTAGTGGTCATTAAATACGGCACGTAATGAAAGATACAGATTTTTTTCACGTTTTCTGATCTTTCTAATGTAAAATGGAAATAAAGATTTAAAAATAAACGAGAGCAAATATTACAAATCATTGATAGTTTTATAAATTGTGGGCGCAAATATATCCAACACCGATCTTATATCTAGGGCAACAAAACCACTGTTTATCAGTGTTATTGACAATCAAGAATGAACTTAGTAGCTAAAGCAAAAATAGGGGGTGGTTTGATCGCACCTTTGATAACTTCTCATAGTTCATCACTGTTTTTTTTATTATAATGTAAAAAGAAATGAAATATTGAAGGTTCTATTTGTGAAATTAATCCAACTCTAGTAGTTAGCCAAAATCTTATTTAACAGCTTTTTACAACTGGAACTGGGAAGCAGGCAAAAAGAAGTTTTTATCACAATTTTTACACAGTTATACATTCATTACATATTATAAAGATATCTAGGTAGATATGCAGTGTTTCTTAGAAAATATGTACAACTTAATTATACAAATGAACACTTTGGAAAGTAACAACTTTATAAGCAACTTTCCTGCTTAGCTTTGCTCGCAGAATGCTTGTGCATCACTGTACCATATATGTATGTATTTACTTTTAAAGTAGTTACCAATTCTTTTTGCGGATATAACTTCAACAAATTATTCACATATATATATAAAATACTAGTAGTTAGCAATTAAGTCGCCGTTTAGTTGATGTTGCCATGCATATATGTATGTAGTTAAAGCTAAGCTTGTTGTCTATGTTAACGAATCCATCCATAATTTATATATTATATATGTTTGTTGCTTTGCATGTTGCCAATTTTCACTCTCAATTCCTCTTTCTAGACTTTCTAGTCGAATATTTGTGTAATTTTATATTTATTATTGCATAATATCTTTCAATCACCAAACAAACAATTATATACAAACACTTTAAATACACGATCCTAACTAAATATTGAACTGAGCATGTGAAATAGTTGCCTTAAATTGATTTCCTCTTTCCAAAAGCTGAAAATTTGCATTCGAACTCGTTGAAAGAACATGTTTGCTTTCACTTTTTGTACATTTTGGATATTCTTCTTCAATCGAATCTTTTTACACTTTCTCTAAACTATGATTGCACTAATTTTAGATATTTTAGGTTATGAGTTAAGTTAATTTTCAATTAAGTTAATCTAATTTAATATGTTAATTTATAACTTTATTTTTTTTTAAAGAATTTTCGCTTGTCTATACTACATAGCTAAAAAGGTTTATCTGTATAATAATAAAATGACCACCTTTCGTAAAAGATGTCAGTTATATGTAGCCTGTTTCTTACACCTGTCCATACAGTTTAAATAAATAGTCGACTGATGACATTGGAGAATCAACAATCTTTCTATTTACTGGAATATTTTAAAAGGTTCTTTGCATTACAATTTTCCTCACTATATTACAATCTAAGAACCTACAGCTTTGAGTTCGCTGAAACTAAGAAGTTTTTAGAGAAATATTCTATTTATTGAGCATAAGTTCTGGATTGACCACGATTTTTGAGATATCAAATAATTATTTAGCAAAAACCCCTAGAATATCTAACAATATGTTCTCTATCATAAGGGTACACTCTTAATTCGAAATATTGGTCTGAAAAAAATGTAAAATCAACACTTTCCCATCCTAACTAGGGTTCTGCCAATGGTGGTACTCACCGCCATCTAGCGTGTATCATACGTTATTGGAAAAAAAAATAAAAAAGTCGTTAAGAAAATGTTTTTGATGTCATATATATAAATATGAAACTATGCAAAGATTTGTTGCCTGTGCTTTGCTTAAAAATTTCAAAACTTCGATTTTTAAAAATAAATGTGCAGGATTTTTAAACGCAATGCAAGCGTAAGGTCTTACATGATAACTTACTATTATATACTGAAATAAATGTCAAAGACATGTTTATTATTATTATCTATATATTTTATATGGATTATCGAATTCATAAAATCTGAAAATTTCATACAAGCGAATATATCTTATTAATTTTTTGTATTAATTTTAATAATATTTTCTAAATATTTCTTTTTTTAATATTTTACACCTTTTTTTTCTGATATCCCATCTTTACTTCCTGTTACCTCCAGTAACAAAATTTTAATTCAAACTGTTTAGTTTAATTTTTACTAGTTATTTTAAACAAAGCCTTAAAAACAGATAATTTAATTTAAACAGTAAAATTAAATTTAAATAAATTAAAAACCAAATAAATAGCAAGCAACATGTAGTAACGAAAACAAAACGCTCATACTTTATTTATTGCTCACTCATTGAAATTATAACCCAAAATACCAAAATAAAAAGAAAACATGAACCAAACAAAAGTAAAACTAAAATTGCAAGACATATTAATAAATTAAAAATACAAAATGAAACATAATTTCTTTCGAGAATGCTGATTAGTGAATATCTTACAGATGATTTCCATCCAGCACCCACATTTACGCCGCCAGAGTTGCCCAAGCGGGTGCATGTGCGCGGATCAGTAACGGGTAATGCAAAAAACTCTACAATACCTAAACTATTACACACAGTTCGCGCATCATACATAGAATACTTTCCATTTATCCCTACTGAAAAAACAGCATTATCGGTTCAATCATTATTATAAATCTCATTCCAATTCATTCACAAATTCATTAAAAACAAATACTTTCCAATGAAAAAAAAGGAATTTTTTCAACATGCGCTAAATTGTATTTGCTAAAGTTAAAAAGCAAGAAATAAATAATAAAATGAAATTTTGTAGACACTTACATGCACACGCACTCGTATGTACAAAATGTAATATCGATACATATTTCTATGACGCTCTTGTGTCTTTTTCTGAAACTTTGAGTTGGCAATTTATCTTTATTTATTTGATATATAAATAAGTGTTTTTATTGACGAAGTTCTTACTTTATTGTTTATTTAGAATTTTCTTGAATCTTTTGTGTTCTTTTTGGATATTAAACTCAGTATTAGGATCTATAAAGATAACATTTTTTTGATTTTAGTTTGAACTTACAAGTGAGTATATATGTTCTTCTATATCGAGTCCCAGCTTTCATTATTGGATATTATTCGACTGAATAGACCACGTCGTAGGCCGATTATGTTGACCACAAGTTGAGCGAAGCGCGCGAAACACATTCTTTAGGGAACGTGAATTTTCTTAATAAAGTTGAACCTTTTTTAAACGCTGTTCAGGCGTAAGTCTTTCCATGATGAAATGCCAAGCAATACTGAACAAACATAACACGACAGCTTGACACAACCTATGCGTCACCTGTCAAAAAAGGTCTATTGAAAAAAGTACCTCTACTTAGAATATAAAAGGTCAACCAACAAGAACGATGAGATGCTAAAATGAAACAAAACACTAAAATTTGGTCAAAATGGGTTGTTATGCAGATAATTTTATGCCAATTATGGTTTGAATAAAATGTCGGCCAAATGCTTCGTTTGCACCCACTTACTCCAATTTTTGGTGACCCGGTGCAGCATTTGGGCTAATATGCGCTGAATGTTGGCTTTGAGCTCCTCGAGCATTGCTAGTTGATTGGCGTAAACCTTGAAATTAACATACCGCCAGAGAATATAATCTAGGGGCATTAAATCGCAAGATCTTGGCGCCCATTTTACTGGGCCATTTCTCGAGATAAACGAAAAGAAAACAAAAAACTTTGCACGCAATGTGTTTTAAACGAGAAAGATGAGGTGGAGCAAAGTTTTGTTGGAAATAGAGATTTCATCAAATTCGGGGAAAAAAAGTCGGTCAACATCGTGCTATAAAGCTCGCTATTGATGGTAACGGAATTTCCCGTCTCATTCTCACTCATCAAAATAAATAAAGGCTTGACGATGCCGACATACTACAATCCGCATCAAACGATACATTTTTAGGGATGCAATTGCGTTTCCTGAACCACACAAAGATTTGACTCATCGCAATAGCGACAATTTTGTTTGTTGACGAAGCCGTTAAACCAGAATTGGGCCTCATCTAAACAGACAATTTTTTGATGAAAATCGTCGGATAATAATCTAATAAACAATATAATTTCCAAGCGTTGTACCAAAGTGAAACGTGACATGATGAAATGGCAACCCTTACTGAACACACTGGTGTTAGTTGTAATTAAGAGTTCTTTTGACTTCACAGGCTTAGGGTAGTTCTAAAGAAATAACCTTACTCCAACTCAAGGCGGATCTTTAAATTTTCTAATCTAAACATAGTTATATCAAAAAGATCTAAGAATTTTCAAATTATTAATGAAAAATCTTGCACATTATAATTGAAAATCAATCAAGGAACTACCTACTACCTTTAATACTAATTTTAAAATGAAATGTTGATATTTGAAACCATTTCTTTATTAAAGTTAAATATACTTTACTAGTAGTTAGTAGTTTCAACGCCAGTCTTTAGGAAACCCTTTGGGTATTTTTTAATATTCCATATCTATTAGAATACTATGGATACAATTTTCAACGATTTCGTAGACGTGATTTCGTTGGAAACACAAAATAACTGTTGGTAAAAGAAATTTACCAAAAATCATGATGGCCATATTTAAGGTTAGTTCTATGATTTCTTTACATTAACGTGTATTTAAAATTTGTTTATTCAGAGAGATTTAATTACTTTTCAAATCATGCAATACCCATAAAATAGTCGTAGAAAATAATTAAAAACCGTTAAATTAGTGTCGTGAAGTAGGTAACACTATTACCTACCAATTAGTTTTCAGCTACCTGTACGTTTATATATGTTTGTTTTGTTTTCCAAAATCTCTAGAACCGGTTACTTATATAAAAAAAAGTAAATACATTTACCGTTTAACGTGTGTGTTAACTATAAACTGTAACAACAATAATAATAACAAAATATTAGTGATGAGAGTTTCTCTTTATAAATGTGTATTAACTTTGACATTTACTCGTTCCACTACTTGTATAACTAAATCAATTACTACTATTCCTATTGGTACTCATTACTGTATTTGAAATGAATATTTTTAACGTTTTTCACTGATTTGCTTTCTACTATAAATATACTATGAATTATGCTTGTTAATTACTATTTCAACTAATAAATTGTAAAACTTGTAATTTCATCTACATATAAATGTGTGTATATACAAGAACTTGTAGTCACTACAAATCAATTATTTCATAACTGTTATATAATTTATTTTGTGTTTATGATAAACATTTCCTCAACATATACTTGTATTACTTTGTACTCACACACTTTCTAGTACTATTTTTCTCTCTCGCTCTTCTACATAGAATTATCCTAATTCGTAATTGGAAGTACAGTAATTAAATACTTTATAGTTTAATTCAATTCCAATAGCTTCAAATATACTTCTTTTACCGTTGAACTAAATAGTCGCAAAAAATTTAAAAGTGTTAAACACTTGAAATAGATAAAGAGTAGTCCAGAGAATTTCCAAAACTAATAAAATATATTCTACATGTATATCTATAACAATTGCAATATGTCAGTGTTCACGCTCAAACGCTAACTTGCAACAAGAAAACAGTGAAAATAAAAACAAAATAAGTAGTTTTTAGCACACGAAAAACTGCAGCAAACTGCTAAAACAAAATAATCATCTGGTACTGTTTTATTTCACATGCTTTTTAATTACTTATATTACATACTATTTACTCACTTACTTACATATGTATTAGTGTCGCTGTAAAAGACAACAACACAACCAAATTGTATTACACACGCGTACAAAAATGTTTGAAAAATTTACCTTTCTTTTCAACCTAATCGCCGCAAACATAACAAAGGCCCATTTTCTAAAGTTTGTTTTCTTTTCTGTATATACTTTTTTTAAAACGCTTTGGTGGTGATTAGGTGACATGACACGCGATAGAGAGGATGTGAACCGTAAGTATTTACAAAGTGTTGTGTTTTGTTTAAATGTTCATCAGCAGCGGCTCCATTGAAGCCAGCGACATCTTTCAAAAATAATAGTTACCAATTTGACTCTTTTTGCCCTGACCGCTCGAACATTTTCTTAGGCCGAAGAGGTAGTGTACACTTACTAGGGGCATCTACAAAATTTTAATAGTAAGGGTCTAAACTGCCTTGATAAGCGAGCTGGTATATTAGATTTAACTTCAGACAAGAGGAAAAAATTGCAAATTGTTCCATTTAGGGGTTTCACTAATAATATCATGCCCAGCATTTCCCTACGACTAGTAAGTGTAGAAAAATTTATAAGTTCTAATCGGCTATTGTATGGAGAAAGACTTAACCTAGAGTCCCAACGGAAATGCCCTAAGGCACAACGTTAAAATTGTTATTAAACCAACTCTAACTTGTCTACTAAAAGTGTTTTAGATTAGCGTTTAACAAAACTAACAACACGAAAGATTTACTTGATCAAATGGGGAATGATTCACAGATTCAAGCAAACTCGTTAGAGTAGATTTCCCTTTACGAAATCCACGCTGAGAAGAAGAAATTAGCTTCAAAAGGCTTTGAGTATATAAATTGTTTTCAAACTGATTACAAAATTAAATGTATAAGATGTCACGACTTTAAAAGAATTAAACCTGAAAATATAGGAAATATCTCCAAAATGTATAAAATAACCACTAAAAAATCAAAAATACTTCATAATTATATTAATATCGCAGTGTGTGTACTAGGAATTTAAATATACTGAAAGAAATAAATCCAGGTGTTTAGCTCCCCAAAGCAATAATGTACATATAATATATGAGTTAATCTGACTAAATTGAAAAAGAAATTACTACGTAGACTTGAATATTAATTTGGTTGTTGTCCTATAACAGAGGGTGCCTCAAAAGTAGCGATGACTCTAATTTTCGATTAAGCATTCATTTAAATGTTATTGGTATTTATAATTACAACAATTATATACCCATTATATTAAAGTATAGTTCTTATGTTTCGCAAGCAAACAAACAAAAATAATGTCAAGACTACCAATAATAAACCTTTTTGCGCGTAACTTTGAAATTTTGAAGCACCCTCCTATGTAAATATGTCTAACCTAAAATTATGTTAAAAAACTATAAAATAATATCTTTGTGTATGGATGTATTTATGTTTTATGATTATTCGAAATATGTAGTCTAAGAAATCGTAAAATTTTTATTTACAGTCATAAATCGCAATGGTCGCCGCACGAATGGCACCGGCAACGGTAGTACAGGGTTGCATATGAATTCAATAGCTGCGAAACAAGTTAACAAGGTGAAACCAACAATTAACCGACAACAGGTTGAGGGTCAGGTGATATCACCATCACAATACAACAGGTGAGTATGAGGAGACTGCATATTATAAGTAAACATATACATATGTAATGTATATTATGTTCTGTATTGAATAAATATATGCTGAAACGCTTAGAATAACTTTTTATGAAAAAACTTTAAAACAGACCTGCTTCAAAATTAAACTGTTCGAAGTGAAAAAACTAATAATAAAATATAGTTATATTTATAATATAATATAATAATATCAAAAAGTTATATTAATTTCAAAAAATCAGCGTCTAGATATATATTAAAAAAATAACTGTAATAATATCGACATTTTTAGTTTAGCTGCTTTTAAGCGCGCCCACTTTTCCAAATTGCAGTCTACAAAGTGTTAGTTAGCAGTGCCCAAGCAATAAAAAATATTTAAATTGAAAAAGATAGCATTTTAGCAAATTTTTAATGTTTAAGTTATATTATTTTTGCGCTGTGTACTTTCACTCATATATAATTTTATTTATACTTTGCGCAAACTTTTGCAAAAATCATCTAGCATTTCATTTTGGCATAACATTTTTTGCAGTGTAAAAAAAATTTTAAGTTTTAACATCTAAGTTGTTTTGTTTTTTATAAGTCTCTAACAGCAAGCGTTTGTAAAATATGCAGCTTATTGATTGTATTTAACTAAAAATTAAGAAAATTTTCAAAACCAAAAACAAATTATATGACGTATAATTACTTTTAACTTTCACAACTCTGAAAATATGTTTCTCTACTAATATATATACTCTTATACATACATGTATGTATTATGTTTGTAAGCAATGTCAAACGCAAATATGTATTAACATAGTAACAATAATAATAACAGCAAAAAAAGCAAACTCTTAATAAAAAATTTTGTTTCAGGCCGCCAGAAAACGATGCTAACCCATATGCGGGCTATCAACTCGCTTACGAAGTTAAAAAGCTCATGTATGCGTCCATTCTAAACTTATAAAAATTTCGAATGCTTTCACTTAAAATGTCACACAATACATAGTTGTTGTTGTCTTTTTTCACTACTATTCTACAACGTTTGTTTCACACTCTTATTCACCTACTTTTTCTATCGATTAATTATCTATCGTCTTTGTATATTGTCGCATTTACTTGTAGCACCAGCAATATTTGCAATATGACATTGCATGTATTTGTTGTAATATAATTTATTGTAAAGGTGTGTGTGTCTACATATGTAGATATGTAAATAATTTACAACTACAAGTATTTGTATGCACTCTTCAATCGTATTTTGCAATTTTTCGTACATTTAATACGTCGCTGTATTTGCATCCAATTTTCAAACATCAATGCAAAAACAAAAACATGTAGTTTTATTTCGAAGAAGTATTAAAATATTTTTGCCATACTTCATACACGATTTTTCGATCATAAAATTCATGCCACAATTAATGTACTGTGCGTTTGAATATATGTATAGTACATACTACATCTTAAGCACAAAACCAAACACACAAACTCATATTATCACACGATTTACTCAATATTTACTCGCTTTTACGAGCTTTCGTTTCGAATCACTCACTTTAACACTCGCCTCGCCGTGGCTTAATGTCAATTCCACTCAAACAAAAATACAAGTGTTTTCAATGTGTAATTTTTATTATATATATCCATACTTGTATAAACATAAGTCGATTACATAATCATTTTGCAATTGCATCAATTTATTACAGTTAAATAAGATTATATTAATGCTCGTCAATGTACATTGCCTGTCTTCGATCAATTCTTGTATTTGTGTCTTTCATATAAATATGTAATTATAAGAATTAAATGTGGTTATTTATAATAAAACCATTAGAAATAAATGTTGATGTAATTTCAATATTAAATGTTTAAAAATTATTTTACACTGTTATACTTTTGTCATTGACATTGAGAGATCAACCACCTTGAGGTAAATTTAAACACACATTAATCATATAAACTGTTAGGTAGTAATTTCACACTGATATCAGCAGTTCCGCCGTCGCCTTGTTGACAAATCAGTCTATGATCAGTAAGATAGCATAGATAAAAGGAAGTTTCATACAGTGTTACTCATCGCCGCCTCTTTTTTATAACTTGGTGAAATTAGCTTGAATAGCACATCTTGAATAAGAAATTCAGGCACAATCTGGCATAAGAAAACGGAGAATGGCTTGCATTAAAACCCTGACTCTCGCCTTATTATTGATAGTCCTAACCTCAAAGTTGTGAAATCTCTATCTAGGAACAAGCATCAAGAACTCAACAGAAGTTGATTTTGCATACATTAACTGATTCTTCTTTAGTCCGAAATTTTTTAGGCGAAAATTGTGACTTTAAACGCTGTGAAATCCGTAACAAATATTTTAAAAGCCTGTTAAGTAGTGTCAGTGAAAATTTATCAACTATTCCCAACTTTAAAGCGCTTCAAGCAAGTAAAGGAAAGTTGCCACAAAGTCAAGGTTCATAAATGTTTATATGTATACTTATACCCTGAACACGGTGTATTAAGTTTGTCACGAAGTTTGTAATACTCAGAATGATTGTCGGAAAACTCACAAAATGCATATGATCAGCATGACAAGCTGAGTCGATTTAATTATATCCATCTGTCTGTATATACGCGAACTGGTCCTGGCATACAAACTGAACGATCAAAATCAAGTTCTCTTATGGAAAACTTTTCGATAACTCAAAAGCTTCTTATGAAGCTTAAAATAATTGCATTGACCCTCTTGCAAGTTTTAAAGATTTTAAATTTGATTTTATTAGAATAGATTTTAAAATGTATTAAAATATACATTCTCGTTATAATTCGACCTCTACGAAACCACTTCCAATAAATGTTGCAATAACTCAACATCTAGAATAGGAAAATCCATTTCATGGCTACATTATACTATTGTATCTCTTGACACACATTAAACGTCAACATTCTCTCAATCAAATACTCTATATTATCGCCTTAATTTAAAAGATAAATTTTTGTTAAAAAGTGTGAAAAATTTTTATATCTGAAAACTTAATTTAAATTCGTTTTTTATTTAAAATATAACTGAAATTTTCATTGGCTTTATTGGCTTTATTTTTATCCGCTTCATATATTATTTTATTTCATTAGGTTGTTATTATGGATACTAGAAAGTGAGCTAGTGCTCCTGAATATTAACCAAATCAATAATGATTTCATTAAGATTATACTCGTATGTGATATTTGAAAGAAAATACAATTTAGTAGTTAGTTAGACTCAGTCAAACTAATATCTGTTGTCCAAAGTCGTAAATTGGGTAACCATAATAATTAAGCTTTTATATAATAATAAAATAGTTTAAGTGTTATCTATCATCTCTGTTCCAAAAAAAATTTATAAAAAGATAGAGAGTTATGTCTTTAGTATAAAAATGTTTCGAAAAACAAGTGTAATGATGGAAGTTTATCTAAACAGCAATTGCCGTCGATTTTAGATTAACTCAGTTTCAAAACTTTACGAGCCAAAGAAACAATTTGATACAAATATACTTCACGGTTACCAATTCAGTTCAAATAAATTCTAAAAACAATTGATTACGAGCTTCTGAAAATATCTGTAAAATCAAAATCTGGAGCGAAATCATGTTTGAAAGAAGTGCATCAATGCTGCTCTTGAGTATCGAAATACGTTCGCAGCTGAATGCTATAGTCATATAACATCTTGATATATGTATAAACATAGAATATGTAGAAGAAATAATAAAAAAAAACTTCACCGGTTATCCCACGAAACATATGAAACAATTGGTTAACCAAAAACAAAACAAACGACGAAGCTATACTACATTTTCCATATTTATCCGATTTATCATTTAACAACTTTTTTTTTGATCTCGTTTATTAAGAATGCTAATAGTAAGTGTTTCCAAAAGACTGAAGAGATGTCCACATATCATCTTACTATGACTTCTTTGAATACAGAAGTGAGAAGATGCGAGTATTATTATAAAATACGAAAACGAATTGTTTAGGAAAAATTTTTTCTTTGGATACTTTCAGTGCATGGAGCTATCTTTACTAAATTTGAAATTTTTACAACTACTTCTTTAAACCTGTTTTTTGTATTTAAACTTTTGCTATGAGAATTTTAGACAAGATTAACTTAATATACAATATTAGAAATTTTATTTTTAGGCAATAGCAATTTTAAGCAATAATGCATTTTTTGTAAACCCACACACTGCCAAATAAGAAATAAACAAACATTTTTGTAGACCCATAAATACATGAATCACGAACATTTTTGAAAGCATAATTTTGAAGCACATTTATAATTTAATTAATACTTTTAGATAACGTAGTAGATATACTTGTATTAGAAACAATTATTAAGACATGCGAATGAATATTCTCATTTTGACTAAGCACAATTATTTATTAGAGCACAGATACTCATACTCGTATTATATACAAAAATATAGAATGCAATATAAATGCATACGTTTGCTCAATCATTTCGTTCGTTTTTTGCATAAGTACTAATTAATTACTTACTGCCATTTGTTCATGTGTAATCATTCGTTAATATTCGTATGCCTACTTACATACATACATAGTTGTAGTAGTAAAGCACAGTGGGCCGATATATAATAAAATTACCGCTATTTGACTACAGCCAACTTTTTCTCCTACTTTGCTTCTCTCATTACCGGCGCTTAGGCCAACAAGTCGCAGCTCCGGCACGGGCACACAAAATCAAAATGGCGGCGTCTCACTACCGGCCGGTATTGCGGACGATCAATCGAAGGATTTCGATTTTGAAAAGACGGAAATGAAATACGATTCGACGGGCATGTTCCACTGGAGTCCGGCTAAGAATTTAGAAGACTGCATATTGGTGGGCATCAAAAATGGCATTACAAACCCGAGATACAATTATGATCACAAATATTCCTCATCTCATTTCATTTATTTCTAAAATCAATAGGATCGCAATCAAGCGGCAATGACTGTTCTAAATGGTCACGTTGTCGTATGCCTTTTTGCCGATCCAGATTCGCCGCTAATCGGACTGCGCAATTTGGTCATGCCATTGCGCGCCTCAAATTTTCACTATCACGAATTGAAACATGTGGTGATAGTGGGTTCGGTAGACTATATACGACGCGAATGGAAGATGTTGCAGAATTTGCCAAAGATATCGGTGTTGAATGGTTCGCCGCTAAGTCGTGCCGATTTGCGTGCCGTGAACGTAAATCTGTGCGATATGTGTTGTATTCTGTCGGCGAAAGTTCCTAGCAACGACGATCCGACGCTGGCCGATAAGGAGGCCATTCTAGCGTCGCTCAACATCAAGGCAATGACCTTTGACGATACGATCGGTGTACTGAGTCAACGTGGGCCCGAATTCGATAATCTGAGCGCGACCGCTGGCAGCCCAATTGTGCTGCAACGGCGCGGCTCCGTTTACGGCGCGAATGTGCCCATGATAACAGGTAAACTGCATCGCACTAAGTTGGCTGTGTTTGCGATTAAACGACCAAATCACATGCGACACATTCATCCAACCGCTGGCTTGGCACAAAGTTGGCTCTCATATGTTTTTTATTGGTTTCTATAAAATTTGTTTTGGCACATTTTTTATATTTATGTGTATTTGTAGAGTGTTGTTGTTATGAATTTCTTCAATTTTTTTATAAAAAAAAATCAAAGCACATTGCTATTGAGTTATGCCAGCCAATTTTGTGCCAATTCTACGCCCGTGTCATGAATGTATTAGTCGTTGTCTCCTCTCGTCTTACTCTAAAATACGCTCGCCGCTAGTTAAAGGTCAAAGCGTTAAACTTTGTTTTGGTTGTTGTTTCAAGAACTGGTCAACGATAGTAACGTGCAGTTTCTCGATCAAGATGATGACGATGATCCGGATACGGAGCTATATCTGACGCAGCCGTTTGCCTGCGGTACCGCCTTCGCCGTTAGTGTTCTCGACTCGCTGATGTCGACGGTAATTGAACGTAACCTTTACAGTAGTTTGCCTTACAAAAATATTTCTCATTAACTTTCTATCTCTACGTGCTCATTTCGGGCACGTGTATACTACTAACATGACCTAGGCTATTGAAGTTTTTTACGTTACGTATTTATTTTCTTTGTTTATCGTCTATAGACGTACTTTAATCAAAACGCTTTAACGTTAATCCGCTCACTTATCACTGGCGGCGCTACACCAGAGCTGGAACTCATACTCGCCGAAGGTGCTGGTCTACGAGGCGGTTACAGCACTGTGGATAGTCTTAGCAATCGTGACAGGTAGGTTTTATTCTTCTTTCGCCAATAGTTTTTCAGCATTAATAATTATAATTCTCTTGCACAGATGCCGTGTCGGCCAAATTTCTCTGTATGACGGACCCTTGGCCCAATTCGGCGAATGTGGTAAATATGGTGATCTATTTGTGGCAGCGCTTAAATCGTACGGCATGCTTTGCATTGGCCTTTACCGATTTCGTGATACGAGTTCGAGTTGTGATGCGAGTAGCAAACGTTATGTTATAACGAACCCACCCGATGATTTTTCACTACTGCCAACAGATCAGGTAAGCCCAAAGAAAACACAACAGTCATGTTACAGTTTACTTAAATTTTTTCGAGGGTTATAGAAAGTTCAATACACGGTAAGCCGTTCGAACTATAAAATATTTTTTATTACAACGGGTCTAGTGACTTTCTTACTCCGCGACTGAATATCTTTAGTCGTAAACCTTTATGTAAAGATTTCCATTGGTAAAGCTTAGTCTCCGGACATTTTTTAGGCTCAGTTGGAACCTGCTACATAATAAGCGTTATCTAAGGAATAAAATTTATTTCGAGACTCGTTTTGAGAGACTTCAAGTCTTTAGTAATAGTTAATAGAAGATACCCTGAAATGAAGTATGGAAAATTTGAATGCCAAACGCTAAACAAAAGTAATCTGCTGTTGACTCCGGCCTTCCCGTGGATTAAATCTAAAACAAAAAATTCTAAAAGATATTGTCCGCACAATGACCTACGATCGAAAAACTCAAAAGCTAACTAAATTGCAGCAAGGATTACGGAAAATGTTTAGTCGTTTTTGCCGAAATTCGATTTTTGATCAGGTCAAAAAACTGGTAGGTCATTGTATGGAGAATTATATACAGAAAAAATTTGATTTGATCGGGTCATTTGTTTCCGAATAAGCTCTTTAGCATATTGAGAAATGTAGTTTTGAGACAAATGCGTTTACAGATTGATTCAGCTGATTGAACTTACCGCTAAGATTTTAGAGACCTGTAATTATTTGAGGTACCGATTTAAGGTCTTAGTATATTATTTGTACAGTAATAACCTATTGCAAAATGAAAAAACAACGTTTTTCTTTAAATTTTATACTAGGAGTGCCACTTCAATCCAACATATTATTAAACTTCTCTCATTTTTTTCAGGTTTTTGTATTAATGCAATTCGATCCGGGCTTAGAATATAAACCGGCCGCAGTACGTGCACCACCTGGTGGTCGGGCTGCCAACACACAAGGCTCCGGGGTCGGTGGGGGTGGTTCAAACAAGGATGACAACTCTTGATTGTTACTGTGTAGCGCCTTAACTGATGGTCCTTACTCGTACATTTGAACGATGGAGCAAACGATCGAGTACAAAATAGCGCATTTCTGGCAATTCATAATCGGCAAAATATGGCAAAAATTACGAGCGGCAATGCAAAATGTATCGAACAAAAAAAATTAGCACAAAAACCAATAAACAACAAAAACAATTGGTGTAATGACAAAATAAACCAATATTAATGCCGTAGGTAAAAAAAACCGATAGGAATTTGTCAAAATTTTATGTAAAGAATTGATTATGCAATACATGAGAGTCCTAGTAAATGTGCCATTTTGTACTTTTATATTTGCACAGACATTCGCCAATGCAAGCCTTATTGAAATAGAACACATGCTTATGTATGTATGTATATGAGGTATGCTATAAAAACAAAACATTTCAATTTTCAATTGGAAGCAAATGTCTTTGCAAATATAAAAATCAAACTCCAACTAATAAAATATACAAAAAAACTGATTATTTCAGTCAGTAAGAGTAAAATCCATCGTTCAAATGGTAAAAAGATTGCTTCCCACACCATTCCGCAAAGCCCTCAACTACTTAATTAATTTTCAAAAATTTTATTAACCTCAATTTACTGTTTTCATTTAGGATATATGATTGTAATCAACTACGTAATTATATATAAGGAGTTTTCTTGTAATTTTCTTTTTTTTTATTAATTTTTACTATTATTTAATAAATGTTTATAATTTAGCTTTAATACAACTTCTGTTAATTATTTATTGCACTTGCACACTCTCTGAAATTTAAAGACCTAGTCTTATGCTTAGCTTAGCTTGAAACTCACATCATATGACCTGTAAATCTTATCTTTGTAAAAATCAAAAAATATATCTATTTAAGTTTTATTTTTAGTAAAGTTTAATCTATCGATAGGTTATAGTTTTTTATGTAATAAACTTTGTTATAATTTGCACTAGTTGTATTAGGTAATAGTATGTGAGCATATAAAATTATATTTATGAGTTTCACACAGAGATAGATTTCCTAAGCTTTTGTATGAATAACTGCTGCAAAATTATGAGGTTTTAAGCTTTACCGCCGCATAACCAAAGCAATTGAAAACAAAAATTTAATTTAATTTTTTTATTTATTTAATTTAATAAATTATTTATCAATATCCCTAAATGTAGGCAAAATATTGCCTACATTTTGGTATCTCACCAAGCTTTTAGTAAAGGCGCACACCTTATGTGACCATTCAACTAAAAGCACCACATTCTGTGTTATAATATGACGATTTTTAATAATGTACATGAGTGCTAATTTTGAAGGAAGATCATCTTCTGTGTGTATTTGAAGCTTTTGTTGTAGATGTGTGGCAATGAAAAATATAATTTTCAACATATTTCATAGTAATATTTTTTGTTTTTATAAAATATAGTTTGATTTGAATATTAATTTTTACTTAGGACTTTTTTAAATTAATATTATATATGTAGAAATTTGTAAAAAAAAATTATTTTTTATTGTTATCTAATTTGTTAAATACGGATTAATCTTCTGAAATTATTTATAATAGATATATTCTATATTCTTGGTTAAAATAAATACCTTTTTAGATATTATACTGTAATTTCGTCATTTATTGAGTTAAAAAAATGGTTAAAATAAACATTTTTTATATTAATCGTCATGTAATTTTTTTCAGTTTAAAAAATGGCTGAAATAAGTATTTAATTTATTAATGTAAAAAACGAAATGGTTTTAATTTTTTTGCTAGCAAATAATTTTTTTTTAATATTAAGTGGCAGGTTATTCTTCCAAAGTCATAAAAAAAATATATAAGTTTTATATTTTTTGTTAAAACAATTTTATTTTGTAGAATATATTATGATTTCTTTATCAACAATATTCGTGTTTGAAAAAATTATTATATTATATATATTATTTAATTTTATATTATTATTTCACCGTTAAATTTTTTTACTCATATCTTTATACCCCGAGCAAGGTATATTAAGTGACTTCGGCGACCCTATTAAGTACATATGAAATGATCAGCGTGACGAACTGAGTCGATTGAGTCATATCCGTCTGTCTGTCCGTCTTTCCGTCTGTCTGTATATACGCGAACCAGTCTGCAGTTTTAAAGATATCGACATTAAATTTTGTACACGTCCTTTTCTCCCCAAGAAGCCGCCCATTTCTCGGAACTTCCGACTTCTATCCAACAATTATAGCATATAGCTGCCATAAAAACTGTCCGATTAAACTAAAGTCCTTGTATGGATTTTGTTTTTTATTGGACAAGGTATCGTCTCGCATTTCAGGCATCGCTACAATCGTACCTATATTGTTTGGATCGAAGCACTATAACATATAACTGCCATTTTTTATACCATTTTATGATATAAGAAATGCATCTGTGAAGGGTATTATAGCTTCGGTGCAGCCGAAGTTAACGTTTTTTCTTGTTTTATTCTCAAGTTAATCGGCACTCATTGTTCACTGCTTAGAGGTTATGTTGAAGAATAAGAGCACTTAATGACATATTGCGTATATTTCCCATTCCTCACCCCTCATACAGTTCAAACAGTAAGCACTTTTGCACTCATATCACTTTGACAAAAACTAAAAGAAAACCCAAGTAAACAACAATAAAAATTATAAGCAGCTTTGAACACCGCCTCACGGCCTCACGACCTCACGATTTCGTTAGTACAAGCACCGTCGTAGCTCGTATCAAACATTTCAATAATTCATTAGCTTCACTTACAAAATGCATCACTTACTGTAATCTCATTGTGTTGGGGAATCGGGGGAGGTATGTATGCAACGAAGAATACATCACTTTAATGAATTCCGTCTTAACAAACATACACTTTACCTTTACATTTGCCTAGCATTTAAGATGTACATAGCAAATATCATTCATGTTTATATTTTCACTGATGTTTATACATTTTTTCATGTCGATCTACTTACTATTTCATCGTTGCGTACCGTATTGGTGACGAAAAAGTTCGTTCATAACCTAGCACGTGGCAAACGAGAAAGAGAATGAAACGAAAAAATAGTGCACATTTCAGTTATCGATAATTTTACGCCTTTACGTTTGTTTAATATTTTTTTCACAACAACTCCTACGTTCATTTATGTTCACTTCAATAATCGTTTGTCGTTAATCGTTTATCGTCATTATTGAGTTTCATAAGTTCATCCAAACGACGAAATATCGAACAACAAGCAATTTTATGTAAAATCAAATGGTGTGACGTAAGCAACTGGGAACCATTAGTGAGGTTAGCTACACATTAAACAAAGGAATTAACCGAAACGCGGGGGAGAAAAGTACTAAAAACAAAAAATTAACGAAGCAACAACAAAACTACAACTATACAACCTACTGAAAACTACAAGTCAAACAACAATCAACACCAAATTTAGTAGAGTAACGCAGTAAAAACTAAAAATTACAAGTAAATTGCATAATAAATAAAGTTAAAAAGCAAACTAAATCGAGATTCAAGCTCATCTCAAAATTCGAAAAACATAATGGCTAAAGATGTAATGGAGAGGAGTATGAGTATAAGCCACTAAGGCAAGCGTTGCCATTGACAGCAGGCGGTGGTGGGTCTATGCTTTTGCGCAGAAAATGTAACTGATAAAAAGCGTAAGCTTGCAATACTGCTTTGCAATAAAGATTCTAAACAATTGTAATATACAATATAGATATGTTTATATGTACTAAAAGACAAAACAAAAATAATTGTACTAGACAAAACACAAAAAAAATAAAAACCATAATTAAACTTACTTCGAAATATACGAACAAAAACAAATTTGAGAAGCTGAAACATACATATATGTGTACCATAAATGTGTGTAATCTTGAGAAATTTGCGTTTAGAGGCGAGTAATCTTAACTTTATCTCATACAAACTCATATGAATAATAACCTGAAGCTACAAATGCTATTTGCTGTTGTTGTTGGAGCCAGTCCGAGGCTTGGCGCATCGACTTCGCGTACGAGTTTGTACATATTTCTTTTGTGAATTTTATTGCTTAACCTTTTTTTTGCTTGAGAAAAATAGTTAGAACGTTTAGCTTAATTCTGCTTGGGAATATTTTATATTAAAAGAATATATAATATATGGAAAAAATTCCGAATTACAAGCAACTCCTGTTAGCCGCGTAACCATATATCGTAAAATCATTTCGAAATCATATAGGAAATAAGGTGGATAAACTACTTTTGCCGTAACAATATATGTACTTGCACTTCTGCTCTCAATAGCCTCCCAACCAACCATTCCGAAAAATATTTATCTTACTATAAATATTATTTAGATATATTTATCTTGAAATATGTACAAGACTCATATGGAGGTTGCAAAAGAGCATTATGTGAGGACAAACGGGTAGCTAACAGTAGTTATTTTAAGCCCAACTACTGGCTTACTCAGCTTGCTATTAACACATTAAAATACAAACACATACACGCGCTAAAATTTGTAAATAAGGCTTTTTTCATTCAATGTATAGAATATGAGTTTAACATATTATCACAACACGACTTATCATATTTTTATAAATACAAAGTCACACAAGTCACAGAATTTTTTTCTGCACGCAAATTTTATAAACTTCAGCACATTTACACATACATACATGCGTAACGGTAAGTTAATATGCAAATTTAAGTTGCATAATGTCTGTTGTCGAATGTTTTGTAAATAGTTTGTAAATAAGCGTACTATATTTCAAAAATACATTTAAATAAATCATTTCTCGTTTTTATACAAAACAATAGCAACAAACACGTAACGAGTAAACAAACAAAAGCAAAAATAAAAAAATTAATAAAAATAATAATGTGTATGTATGTATGTGCTATAGACAAAAAAACCAAAAAACAAATAAAATTCATTCAAGAATGATTCAGCCTAAGCAGACCGCATTAAACGCAGTTAATGGAATTCAAATGTTTAACTACGCAAAGAAAACTGAATGAAAACATATTGCATCACCAAATAGTATATGGAAAATACAAATTACGTACGTGTGTAGAAGGACATTTAGAAAAATAAGTAACACTGCCAAATTAATTAAAACAAAAGTTTAATTAAAATGATGTAACACACCCAGATGTTGTAGATATGTATGTAGGAAAATTATGTAAAAGCAACACATACATAGGTAGTTCCGAAGTAGTATGAGACTAAAATACTATGTCCTTACCTCCACACTTAATTATATTTTTTTTTACACGATTGAAAACCTTGCAAAGAAATAACGAAACTGAGCGTATCATACCAACAAACACAAAAACGAGAACTATATTGGTGTCATAACGAAAAAATAAATTGATTGAAAATTTCCAAAACGCCGAAACTTGAGTGCGAGGTCTATCGTTCTATAAAAAAATAACAAGCTCGACGCTATTATAAACTCTTTTTAGTGTAAGCCTTTGCTCAAAGGAACTTAGTTTGAAGCGACTTTGATTAAATTCAGCCATTGCTCTGCACTTTATACAACTTGACTTAAATGATGGTATTGTTCAGAAGTGTATGTTTTACCTTTAAAATCAAGTTGGTTGGCACAGAATCATAGTTGGTACAAGCATGTGCAAAAAAAAATTTAAACACCGCTTTTTTAAATTCAAACAAAACAAAACAACCAAACGAAAAAATACTAAATAATATTAATTATCAAATACTGAGTTTTAGGCTACATCAAATTGTTGTAGCCTCTCATAAAAGTCATGCAATCTGCAATCTATCGTATTCTGCATGATGCCAAAGTACTTATGATATAGGGGTACTATGGTCTGCATATCTTTCGAGTTGAGTCTCAGTTGTACGAACACAACACAAATGCAGATTATTTTCGCGGCAACCGGCACTTTTTGTTTTACAGCGGAAATTAGTTGGAGAAATTGGTTTCTTTAATATTTTATACTCTTGGAGGCAAAATAAGCGGTTAACACCGACCGACAGAAACTTTTAAATTATTCACATTTCTTTCAAATAGATTCACAAAAATTTGAACATTATTCGATTGAAAATACAATAATTATATACTTTTTTTTCATTAAAGTGGGAGGAGCAAAATCTATCTAAACTAAAATTCGTATAATTTTTGCTTTGAAAACAAATATTACTTAGACACAATGCTAACTTATATTTAAATATATTCGAAGCGTAGAACCCACCACAAGCAACACAAAAAACATAGAAACTAAACGAATGCGCTAAGCAACTTCAATAGCTATGTTGGAAAACAAACGAAACATGTAAAAATAAATACATAAAAATATGATTTACCACCAAACAAAGAATTATTTCGAATCACAATCAGAACAATCAAATAAAGAATATGAATCATTAACGTAAATACATAAATTACTAAAGAAAAAAATGGCGAATCTCAAATAGAAATATGAAAAACTAGACGTTTAGTTTAGCTTTTTGTAAATTATAAAAATTTATAAAAATAATGGCAAATTTTTATGAAATAAATAAAAACAAAAAATAGCTACCAAGAAGAGCAATAAAAGCCAACAAAAAATATTTAAGCAAAACGAATTCGAGCTTTTACATATTAATCAACTAAACATTAACACACAAATTAAGAGCATGAAAAAAGCTAAGGAAAATGAGAAAAAAAATTTAATTCGCATAAAATATTGACAAGGGTAAGCTAGGCAAAATACGAATTATTTTCATGTGTAGAGTAGAATTTAAAAAGAAATTCAGCGCGTTAAATAATATAAATATTAAGTAAAAGCAGCAAATGATAGCAAATTGTTAGTAAAAAAACATTTAATAAATACTAAACAGTAAAGCCGTCATTAAAAGCAATTAACTAAATAAAAATTTAAAACTAAAATTAAATTGACTAACATAAAATTTGGAATTAAAAATAGAAAAAAGGAAAAATAAAATGTGAATATTATGCGCCTTCAAAGTTATTTATTGTATATGTAGATGTGAAAAGTATAAATAAGTATTGATTTAAAAAAATTAAATAAAAAATAAAAAAAATTAACATAAACGAATTCAAGTTTCATCATTTAAAAAACAACAGTTAAGTACAGTTAATTATAGACCATTTATTTTCGACACATTTGAGCTTAATTCGAAAATATTCAGGCAATTATTGTATGTGTGATTAAATATAAAAACTAATCGTCAACTTCAAACAACAAGTGCTGAAAGCTGACTATTCAAAAGCATAAGCCTAAAAAAGTTTGTACGATTTTTAAAATAAAACTTTTGGGCTTTCATGTGTAAAAAATATTTACAAAAAATCGATAAACAAAGGTTTTCATGAAAGCTCTTTGAGGAATGATGTTCTCTAAAATTATCGGCGTGAAACAGTAAATGATTACAGCTGAACGTAATCAGTCAATGAAACCATATCTTGTGACTTAGAACAAGCCTAACAATGTGGTCGAAAACTCAAATGGTTCTAATAAAGTGCCCAAAAATTTATGGATTTCTTTATTAAAATTTAAATACTTCAAATTGCCGGCTAAACAATATAATCAAAACAAACCAAAATTTGTGTTTTCACCTGGACAACAGGTTGGGTGAAAGCTTTGTTTGCTTGAGCTTTCATCCAATCAAAAGCAAAAGCTTTAATTAATTTTTGCATACGCTTTTGTTCAATATATTCGAAAAGGTACAATATACAATCATACAATATAACAATACATATTTTTATTTCAAACCAACTTGTTGATTACTTTCAACTGATTTCGAGTAAATTGGAAAATATTGGATTTCATAACAACAAACAATCATTTAGACACATAAAAAGAAAAACCGTAAACATTCTTGTAAATCAGCCAGCCAAAGCCAAGTAGCTTAGTGAATAGTTTAGTTTTTAGACAACATAAATTGTAATGCAAGGTCCGAAATTAAATGAAATTGAATTACCGAATAAAAATAAACAATATGAAAAAAGAAAAAAAAATTGAGATATGTATAAACACAAAAAGTTAAACATAGTTTTAAAATTAACAACTTAAGGTGAGATTGATATGATATTAAAAGCAAAATATAAAAAAAAAACTCTCGATGTTGTGAAACTTGATGAAATCTCTTTGAAAAAATTCATAAATATTTATAATAAAAACACAATACACATTCATATAATAAATAAATTAAATTTGTATATTTTTTTAGTCAAGACAAACACTCACCACACTTTTAACATTGACTCACATTTATAAAAAAGTTCTCATAGACTCGTATGAACCACCAAAGATTGCTTAAGAATAGTTGCAGAAAAAAGTTTAGAAATAAAAACTACTTAATAAATAAAACACAACCAAAAACAAATTAGAGAAATAAATGTACGAGAAATTGCAACTGCGCCCGCATTTTCTGGTAGTTAGCGAACTTTTTTTTATAAAATGCATTAAAAAATTTATATAAAAATAGAAAAATCTATTTAGCAAATATTAATGTATAGAAATGTACATACATATATAAATATATAAATAAAATTTCATGGCTACATAGATTCCAGATATATATAAACAAAAATTGTGTTTAATATTTTTTTATTGTTTAAAAAATTGCAAAGAAAATATAACAACTTAATTTGTATACAAATATTTTTATTTGATATTCTAAATGTATTATTGTTAGGAAAGAAATGCTAAACATATTTACATATGTATGACAACCCAAATAGGTCTGACTCTAAACTATTGGAAAACCGAAATTTTTAACAAACACCATTAATTGAAGAAAATTTATTTTACAATCGATCTGTACACGCTACTTATACTTAAATATTTATGCTATTTATTACCAACAAATTTAAGTGTAAATTCAGTTAAAGAATAAATTAGCATGCAAGCTGCAGCTTTGACTACCGCAACAATCACACACCATAAATATTGTAAAAACACAAAAAAGCTACATACATGCATTAATTAACGTAAATCGTAAACAGCGTTGCCATGACAGACCCAAAAAGCAATTAGTCTTAGAACGAACTTGAGAGAAAATTTTTTATAAAAAATATGAAAAAATAAAACATAAAAATAAAAATAGAAGTAAATGCATTAATACCAAAGTGAAATTTTAAATTTTGTCTAATGCCACCAAACCAAAAAAAAAAACAAAAACATGCGTAAAATAACATAAATTAAAAGGCATACACGAACTTAACTGTAACGCGCGAATTAACCAAAAAAATACAAAAATATTGTAAACAAAGAATCAGAATGAAATTATGTTGTTAATGTTTAATTGTTAAAAAATTAAAAAAATAAATAAAAATAAAGAAAAGCTATTTAAAATAAAATATTTAAAGGAAAATTAAGAAAATAAATTAAAAACATAAAGCGAAAAATAAAAAATTTTGATTAATTTCATTGCTTTCAAAAGTTGGTAAATTTTGCTGTAACTCAGAACCAACCAAAAAAGAAGAGAGTCGAAAATTCCTCCTTTGTATGCTACAGACTTGAACTCATTTCGATTCACTGTAACTTGGAAGATAGCGAATCGAGCATGCAACTGGCAATAAAAATAGCGATAAAATAACATGCAAAAATATTACTCGCATTACATTTTACTTTTGCTCTACATACTCTCATGTGTTGAATTTATCACAGAGACTTGGTAAATCGCAGACTATTTATTTTTAGAGAAATCTAATAAGAATTTCGATTATGTTATATTTCTCTAGATGGAAACTAACAACGAAAATATATAAATAGAAGCAGTTTGATGTCACTGGCCAATCAGTTATTCGAAATTGAGTTCTCCTAATTTTTATTGTGTGCTGATTTGAAAAGTAGAGTATGCATTGGCAATACTCGGATCGTTAGCAAGTTCAAAGTCGACCCTTGGGCAAAAACCATTGCTATACACAATGCAAGGACTTGACTTTTGATCCAACAGTGTATACGGTTGCTATATTTTATAGTGGTCCGATATCAACGCTTCCGACAAATGAGCAACTTCTTGTTAAGTTAAGAGATTAGTTGACGTAAATACAGACGGGCATGGCTAGATCAACTCAGCTCATCACGCTGATCATTTATACAGGGTACACTTTATACGGCCTCCGACGTTTTTTTCTGAAACAAAAACAAGACAAATCTAGCAACTCCAATATAAAAATGGCCTATATATTTAGCTTCTTATATATATTTAATTTGACGTTCTCATTACATCACTTGTGTTATTTCATCAATATTTCTAGTTTTACTTCAGGTAACTGAATATAGCAATGGGATTCGCATTTTAGTCACTCACTCATATAGTAATTAGATTCTGGTCTGCAATATTAACTCTATTTGAACTGAAATAATTAGTGAAATTTAACAAAAAAGCAATCTAAGTATTCGCTTGAAGAAATTTCTACAAAAGTTTGAATTTTGGGGCTTAACGAAATTAAAATGGCGTGTGTAAAACCGTAAGCCATAAACCGAACCGACAGACGTCAGTTTCGAATGACACCCCGTTATGCATAATTCGCATACAAATATAATAATATATATACATACATACACAGCTTAGCGCATTTGTATGCGAGGGTGCACATTGCAAATGCGTAGAATTTCATAATTTTATTACAAACGCCACCACTTGGTTGTCTGTCACCAAAACCAATCGATTGGTGTTTAGTGATCACTGTTTGATTGTTGTGTAATGGAACTTCTAATACGGCGACACTTTCATGCAAACATCTGTTGAAATAGTGAAAGCGAAAACTCATAGCGAAAAAGGTATGTGAGGTTGTGGTATGTTACAAAATGGTTAACAGCTATGGTAGACGGCCGAACAGTAAGGTATGGCCATAAATTTGAGCACGTACCATAATTATAAAAACGTAAATGCCTACTTTTTATTTCGAAATAAATTATTTTCGAACATTTCTTTTTTAAATGTTGTTGACTTTGCCGTAGACAGCACTTCCTGCGTGGAAAGCCACTTCGGCGTAATACTTTCGCGTAGATAACCAGCTACAAGAGACAAGTGTACTAAAATAAAATCACACAATTCAAAGCAACAACAATTTTATTATATAGTAACAAAGCATGTGCAAACAAGAAATAGCGGTGCGTCTGAACGAGGAAGCTAGCGACAGCACTTCTGCAAGACTTTCTGCAGCGCGTGTGCTTTATCTTGCCTCCACTTTTACTTTGATTGCGACAAGCGCACAAGTGTCTACGAGGAAATAGATTGCAAAAGAATATTTTATTTCAGCTGATGGTATGATATTGGCCATGTGGCGCTATCTTGTGGCATATTCCGGGCGCCACACAGCATTAGTTGTGTGCCCATTCACGATGAGGCGCCGCAAAATGTCGCCGATCCAAATTAGGTGAAAGAAACACGTTCGCCCAGTTATGTTCGCCTGGTTTTCATGCCTTTTTATGGTCAATGCAGAGTAGGCAACTAGTTTTGTAGTTTTGTAAATATGCATTATCAATATATAACATATGTATATGTGTATATATTTGGCTGGGAGACAACAGGTGCTTCTACTTAGTGTGGTAAGTGGAAAATGTTGCACGCGCTGGGATGGTAATAAAAACAGGGTTTTCCAATTGCTTTTGTGGCAATTTTGTAGCAGTAATCAGTTATTTAAACATGTACGGAAAGAAGAAGGAGAAGAAAAAATTCATACTCTTGCAACTTGCAAGTGTTAAAGCCAGCCAAATACCAACAGATGTTGGTAATATTAAAAAATGTAGCAAAAGGGTTTAACTTTATTATTTGACGAAATCATGAATGGATTACACATAAATTTATTATTATATTAACCAACCTTTGAAGGTCGTAGGCCCTCTTAGTTTTATTACTATATTTTACTTCCCGTCAGCGAAAATTATACTAAAGTCATTGAGGGCAAAGAAATGGAAGGGCTCGTTGCATTAACTTTTGACATTGATCAGGTATATTTGAGAACTTATTTTCGATATTCAATTTCATAAATATAAACATAGTATATACCGGGTGATCCAAGTAGCGGCACTTTTTTCAATAGTCTTCTTTTGACAGATCACGTCTGAGACGTGGCAAGCTGTTATGCTTATTTGTTCAGTATTGTTTGACGAATAGACCAGGTTCAGCACGCAGAAAATATAGCGGCCGTAGCTGAGATTGTACACGTAGACCGTGATCGTCTATTCGCCGCCGTTCGGTGCAACTCGGACTGACGTATGGAATGATTTGGCGCATTTTACGTTGAGATCTTAAATTGAAAGCGTACAGAACACAGCTTGTGCAAGAACTGAACCGCTCGACCTTCCCAAGCAACATCGCTTCGCTCTATGGGCTCTTGAAAAGTTCCAAGAAGATCCGACGTTTCCGAGGCAAATTTTGTTCAGCGATGAGCCCCATTTGTGGCTCAATGGGTACGTAAACAAGTAAAATTGCAATATTTGGGACAAAGAGCAACCTGAAGAGAAATCTAATAGCTGCCATTTTCTTCAGAAAAAACAACGGTTTGGTATGGTGTGTGCCGGTGGAATCATCGAGCCATATTTCTTCAAAAATTATGCCGGTGTGAACGTAACCGTCAATGGCGACCGTTAACGCGACATGACAACCAACTATTTTATGCCTGAAATTAAAGCTCGTGATCTCGGCGATATTTGGTTTCAACAAAACGGCGCCACTTTCTACATAGCGCATCAATCAATGGATTTATTCAGAGAACACTTCGGTGAGCAGATAATTTCACGTTTTGGGCCGGTCGATTGTTCACAAAAATCAGGTGATATCACACCGTTAGACTAGACTTTTTTTCTGGGGGGCCTTGAAGCAAAACATCACGCGTGTCATTCGCCAATTACTAGTCGAAATGCTCGAACGAGTCATCGAAAATTGGACTCAATGGATGGACCATCTGAGATGTAGCCGCGGCCAACATTTGAAAGAGATAATCTACAAAAAATAAATGCCAAAGAATTTTCTTTTGAATGATAATAAACATTCCCCATTAAATTTGAATTTTCTGTGTTTTTATACCCTGAACAGGGTATATTTAGTTTGCTACGAAGTTGGTAAAACCCAGAAGGAAACGTCGGACACCCTATAAAATAAATATGTAAATGATCAATATGATGAGCTGAGATTATTTAGCCATGTCCGTCTGTCCATCTGTCTGTATATATATATATATTTGCAATGTGTCAGAACCGGAATCGGATTCAAGTCTTTGTAAGGAACCTTTGTTTGTGAAGGGTATTATAGCTTCGGTACAACCGAAATTAATGTTTTTTCTTGTTTTCTTTAAAAAAAAGTAGGGAACTTCGAAATGGATCACCCTTTGAATGGAGTAAAATCAGCCGGATGTTTCAAAATCGTGAATTTTAGTTATATGAGGGCTAAAGCAAGTTTTCCGTTACTAAAATAACTCTCACATTGGCCGATAAATATAGTATAAAGTCAACTGGAAGTTCGAAAATCTTCATATTAGGTATATGGGGGCTAAAAGAATTATTGATTCGATTCAAGCTATTTTTGACCCAAAGGTATAAAATATTATCAAAGGAACATTTTCCCCGTAATTGAATAATATATCTCACAGATTGACTGATATTTTCGCCAAAAAGTCTTCCATAGGCATTGGGGTCCACATATTTGGCGTCTGGGTTCTTCAAAAGTTATTGTCCGATTTTAACAATTTTTGAGCGTAAGATGAAGTACCTTTTTTGTGGTATTTATGCAAAAATATAATTATAATTGGTTCTTGATTTGTATAGTGGAAAGTGAAAGAATCATATGTAACAAAAAATAAATTTAAAAAAATTATATTTTTCAAAATTTCACACTAGGCGTGAACCTTACAAATTTTACACATGAAAATCCAAAGAAAAATTAAATACCACAAGATGAAAATCATTTTTCTTTATTTAAAGTAAACTAAACACGCTTTTGTTTAGCTCTATATTTCTGGTTCTCTATGAAATCCAAAAGCGACTACGCTTCGTTGAATTCTCTGTGGCGCGTGCCTAACGAAAGTGGACCCACTAGCACAATGGAATCACGTCGCTTTATTGACGCATTCATGCGCGTATTCAACGAGTTTACGACGCCGCATGCCTATTATTGCTAATCTATGTATGTTTTGTTGCTGTTGTGGTTGTTGCATTTATTATATTCACTGCGCGAGTTTTCTTTACGATCATGCAGTTATCAACAGCTAACGCTGCGCATGCGTAAAATCG